GGTTGAAATTTCAATTTTTATTTTATAGGAAAAAGAAAAAAAATATATGTTACCATTAGAAAATCTTAAAATTCGTGATGTTGAAGGTGGTTTTATGGCTAAACGACCACAATTTGCAATATTTAACACTGAAGGAAAGTAAGTAGTTCTTTATTCATTTATTTTAATGTTCTTCATAAATAATAAAAAAATTTTCTTTAGAAATGTTTATAAAGAACATAAAACTCTTGAATTATCAGTTGATAATAGTGAAGAACTTGATACATGGAAAGCATCATTTTTACGTGCTGGTGTTTATCCAGAACGTGAACAACCACCAGAAGATCCACAAGTAATTTTAAAGAAGAAAAAATAAAATTTGATTCTTTTTTTTTTCTAAATGACTCTTTTTTTTATAAACATCATAGGCAGCAGCTGAAGTTGGTCCTGTTGATCCACACATGGAAAGACAAGTTGAAACGATAAATAAATTAGTAACATCATATATGCAAATAGTTGCTCGAATGACACGTGATTACATTCCAAAAACAATTATGTATCATATAGTTCAAAATGTTAGTGAACTTGTTTTTATTTTCGTTTTGAAAAAATTCATTATTTTTTTGTTTGTCTTTAAATTTTAGTTACAAAAATTTGTTGCAAAAGAATTATTAGCACATCTTTATGCTGTTCCTGATCCAGTAAGATTAGCTCTTTCTTTTGTTTTTTAATTGGAGCTTAGTATCGATTTTATTATATTTAGAAATCATTATTACAAGAATCTGAAGAAGAACGACAACGACGAGAATCAAAACTTGCAGAATTTGAAGCGATTAAGAATGTATGTTTAACAAAAATGAATTTTAATCTTATATATCTTTCAAATAAAAACAAAGAATATAGTTTCACCGGGGAATTTCAATGGAAATTCGTATTGTGAAAGTTAAAAAAAGAACAGACATTTTTACTATGTATACTTCTTTTAAGTTTCATTAACTACATGCATATGAATTAAGATCTGCTAGACTTTGATGTAGTGTGTATGAGTTTAAAACTTATTGAATTCACAGACAGAGTTAGCCGACGTTTTAGAAGACTAGCAGTCAACCAGATTCCAATTTGAATAATTGCGCGGAGGAACTGTTTCAACAATTTTTAGGATTGATGAGGGAACCTCTTCAGCTGGCCCCTTCTGACTTCAACAATGTTTTGTCTACAGTTACATTTACTATTTGAGCTTAACTGGCAGATCATAGTGAAAACAGTAAAAGTCGGAAGAGTTCATTCTCATCTGTGTTTGCCTGCCAGAAACTATTGAACTTCCAAAAATAGTTCTTTGCCACAGGCATACAAAAAACCCTCGATGAAAGAGAATTTTTCTTGGCTAAAATTCTCAGAATATTATAAGAGTCATTAATGAGACTTGCTTACGAGTTCAAATTGTAGTTGTCACTGAGGATAGTTATCCAAATACTTTTAAGATTTTAATTAGAGTAGTATGTAGTGTCTATAGCGAAAAGAATCATACAAATCGTAAGCAGTACCTGGACAGGTCTCTTGCGAGCTGCCTGAAAAATTTTTTTCTGTTTTGAGAATGGCATATTAGTAACACAATAAAGACTTATTTTTTTATCCGAAGGTATCATTTCCAAAAATATAACAACAACTGTTCAAACAGGTGCTTTACTATGAAAAATACAGCTCTCACAGAGAGATTTGCTACAGTTAAGACTATGTCTTGATATCTTGATTGTTTTCTCATGTACTATAGAGATACATTGCGAAAGATGAAAGAACTGTTAGAACTTTTCTATCTCTATAAATGATTCATATAAATCACACTCTATATTCATTGAGAAGTGTGTTGGGTACAGTTAATCTTGAATTGTTTAAATATTAAGTGTAGTGACAAGTGTTTCTCATACTATATTTTTAGGCTTTGAATATAATCGAAAATTTTCAAATCAATGCACGAAAAGTAGCTGGATCAGTTATGCCTGTATCGGTATTAGCTGCTGGTTTCTCAACGTTCTCAACGAATACTAATAACTATGCACCATCAACGGGTTATTCGAGTAATGCACTTGATACTACTTTTTTTCAACCTTCATATGGATTGTATGTAAAACTAAATATTTGTGTATTTCTTAATTAATCATTTTCTTTTTTGTCTAGCAATCGACCGCCAAGTCCAAATCCTCAACGAAAACAGCAGGCGCCTACAAATCCAACTTCGAGTACATTTCCAACACGTGAACCGCCACCACCACCACCACCACTTCGTCCAAGTCCTGTGCCTAGTACATTTGGTGGAAATCCATCAAATTTACCGGCACCAATTATGCCACAGTAAGTAATCATTGATTTCTATCTTCTGCTTTATAAATGTATCCATACACAAATGAGTTGATTTTTTTTTGGTCTAACCTCCCTATCAGGCCTGCTTCAACTTATAAACCTCAAACAAATACATCATCAAATAATAATAATATATTCTCGGAATTAAATGAAAAATTGGCAAAACAAGTAGCGTGAGTGTCCATTGCCTAGGCTATACTATTGATCAATGAATAATTATAAATTTACTTATGCGCTTTTAATCCTAACATCATTTATTTGTTCTTTTTGCTCTCATATGTTTTTATTGTTTGATGTTGTGCGTGAATGTCTGTACTATTATATAGGCGAGCTCAGAATGCAGCGACATCATCATCATCACAATCATCAACTAATATGTTTCACGGATTAGATCCGTTTGCTGCACCTGTATCATCATCTCAGTATCAGAATGGTACTTCAACCCCTCCAATACCAGCGTAAGTTTGAAACTAACAAAAAAAAAAA